ATATTCCATTTCATTCACTTCTTTTCACAGACGAATAGAAGTTGGGTAGTTTCCCCAAATTCAAATTCACCAACTGCACAGAGTTACTAAAAATTTATCTGACTCATTCTTCTCCCTCATTTCAACTATGATAAGTCAAAAACATTTTTCAAAACTGGTAAAGCAGTTGTTCTAAATATACGTGTTTCATTTTCAATAATTCCAAGTCATTTTAGCCCTTAATAAGAGGCAAAGGCATTAAATCCTACCAGTTTCTACTGCCTGAAAAGGAGAACACTGCCACCTGGGCATACATGTAGTTACATGTCATAACATTCAGACTCCAAGTATGTGTAGATTTTCTTTTAAAATCATCTCACCCTCAAGTGCAAGCACATTATTTCACAGAGAACAAGAGAATCAGGACTACATACACACAGCTTTGTATAAGTTAGACAATTTTTAAGTAGGGAAACAAACACGTTACAAATGCAGAAAATACAAAAATGTTAAAAAAAATTAATACAAACAAAAATTCAGAAGTTTTAAGCCTTTAACACCAGTGAGTGACCAGCATTGAATTTCTCCTTACAATATCATCCCTGAATCACACATTGAGATCATGAGAATAAAGTAGATGATCACTGACTGGAGAAGCTCTTGATTGTTAAACAAATTCTCCTTGTCATTAACTTAAGAAATGTATAGAGAACAGTATGAATAATATGCATACTGATGTTAGGTTGGAAAGGGTTACACCATACCTTCTGGTTCGTACTCCAAATCAACTCCTCTGCTTGTTTCAACTGATGGCGTTAGCCCAGGAAGGACTGTAGGTTCAGGTCTCGTGCCTGAAAAAAAAAGAGAAATTGAGGGCCAGTTATTAACACGAGGTCAAACACAAACCACAGTTTTAAGCAAGCAATGGGCCTCAGGGATTCTCTATAAAAGGGTTGATTTAATTCAATAAATCCCCTACCACTTCTTGACTTACATCTTCTTCCCAAGAACAATAATTAATTCTCTAGGATTTTTTCACTGAGATCCATACATTAACTCCTACAGTAATTCACTTCTTTTTGCTTCATTTTCATCAAAATTTACTGATTGTGCTATTTTTTCCAACACTTTTTCACCTAACACTATTCCCACTTTTATTTTATTTTCTCATGTACTTACAAGGAATTCTTTTGACCCCCAGACAGAAAATGCTAATCAAAGTGGGTAAATTGTTTTCTTACATGTAACTGACCTTACATAATTACACTAACTTAATTTAAATACATTACATGATATACCAAAATTACCATAATTTACAAGACTCAACTTTTTCAAGGAAGAAATTGAATGATAACTGCTCAATGACAACAGTTGACATAACAATGTACCTTCTGTTTCAGCTTGAATTCCAAGATTAACAACTTCATACAGCCGTGCCATAGGAGGACATGCACTGATGATGTTAACAACTTTGGCCAAATTGTTTGCAATGGCATCAAATCCATCATATCTGAGCTGACTATTGAGGGAAGAAAAGTTGAAAAGAAAAAATACAATTTTTTATGATGATAATAAGCACTGGCAATCTAATAAATCAAATTATACAAAATACCCTTGTTTGCAACAATGTAGTCACAGGATTATTCTGCAAAACTCAAAATGTCTAAACTATGAACTCCGTTTACCCACAATTGAAAATTTTTTGAAGAAAAAGGCTTGCTTATTTGTTTTTGATTGCCTAAAAGACAATGTTTGTAGTCCTTTCAAAGAATATTTTAAATTGTTAACCCACGAATTTAATATGAGGAACAGAGGGACCACCGTTGCTCTCCCGAAAGTGAGGCTTGACTTTGCTCGGAAAAGTTTTTATTTTTTAGGAGCCTCAGCTTTTAATTTTTTATCTTTAAAAATCAAGCAAATTAGCAGTAGGGTACCATTTAGGGAGTCTTTAGATCAATTTTTTGCCGAGGGCATTTAGTTAGGTGAGTAGTCATTCTTATCTTATTCTAGTTTTTATCCTTATATTATGTTATTTAGACAGGACCCTATTGATAACAGTGCTCCTGCACTGAAGGGCTATCCTGTATAAATATTTGTTATTATTAGCATTATTTTATTATTAACACCTAAAAAGCATCATTCGTGAACCATGAGACCTAACATGTCCATAGAAATGTTTGCACAAATACATTATCAGGGATTCACTTTTCTTTTTATTCATGATGAATCTTTATTTATGAGTGATAATCCTTTTCTTTCAAGAAAGCTCTTTTATGACAGTCAAGTAAATATATCTTAAGGTCGAAGTAGTAGCAAGTATGATAAATATTGTAAGAAATAGACAACTTTTTTGAGAGACATGTTTCGGTATGCTTCTGCCATCTTCAATCAATGAGTAACTGAACGTGAGTAATTAGACGTTTGTGTAGTATCGCTGAGTATTTTTGTGAGTTGTGCCGTATTTTGACAAGCCCTTAAGGTGAGTCAAAATACAAATAACAAGTAAAAATACTCAGCGATACAACACGCCAAAAACGTCTAATAGGTTATTTATTATTCAACATGCCAAATTGTTATTTCAGTGCAGGCCAATTTCATGGATATTTATTTACAGGGAATGCATGACAGAAGTATGCAAAGTGGCACAGAATTGATATGATGTCGTGTTGCTGTTTGTATTTTCTTCAATAAATGATGAAATTTCATTGTCATCTAACTTTCTTCATTCGATTTATCTAATAAACCTAGATCAATATTCTCCAGCCATTCTGACTTTTCATAATCCGAAAAATGATTTACAACATCTGGCATTTTTTTAACTTCAATCCAATTCGTTGCTTGCACGATAGGAGAAAACCTGTCTAACCTGTCTGGAGTACAAATACTGTGTAGTATTTGTACATGTCTTAGGTGTTATTTGTACTCTGTGGTGTGTAATTGGATAATAATGGTGGTTGTCATGTACAACTGACCCACAGAGATACAGAATCTCCTAAAATGTAAATGACTATTCAATGTCAAGGTTTTGAAATCAAGTGTAAAGCTGTGGCATCAATAATATACAAGCTCTAAGAAAAAAACACAAACAAATGAATTTGGGGTTTTAGAAAAGAAGTTATGCTTAGAGCTCTAGAAACCAGAGAATCTAAGAGACCCAACAGGTAGAAAAGGACATGGCATAAAAATCTTGGAGCAAAGAAAAGTTGGTTCAAAACTACAGAGGTAGAAAACCAAATAGCTGACTTTTCCATGCTCGTTGAGACAGAGCTCACAGTTACTGCATTTGGGAACATAAACAGGCCACTGTAAAAGGTTTGTAACCAACTGTTTTGGGCCTTCACCCTTTATCAGATCAATTGACAAAACAACTCAGTTGATAAAACCAAATTATCTTGTAATACCCCCACTGACATAGCACCACAGTTTCCTTAGAAATGTACCCCTTTTGTCCACGGGTGCAGCCAGCATAAAATGCCATGCACTGCATGTGGAATTCACATAACATCTACATATACATTTATTAGAGTCGGTAGAACTTTGAGAGGTATCACACCAACTAAAAATTCATAACAGAAAAATTTCCCATTTCCTGGTTTTTCCTAGTCATATTTGTCCTAATAATCAAAAAGTAACGAAAACAAAGACTGAATTTCTTTGTTTTTGTACCGGAGCAAAATTACACTGAAGCTTTAGATACAATACCACTATGAATGTTTTTTTTTAGCGATAAGTTTTCGGTCTGAACATGACTGGCTGAATCTTTAGTCAATCTTTCACCTGATAAAGCAGCAGGCAAAATTTTTTATGGGTATAAACTATTAATATCGCTTATGTACGCAAGCAGAAATATCGTTCTGATAATTCTCATTTCATCTTGAATTAAGACTATGGACGTTAATTGTACTGAGCGACAATTCAAAATCCATACAAATACGGTTTTAGAAAACTCGAGGCACTTTCTCAGCCAAGATTAACTGACTCCTTCCAACAAACTGATGTTCAACACAATCTGAACGGAATAACCCACACGGCGCTCTAACAGCAAACCATCAAATAAGTATCAATCGGGTTAATACTTAACACAACTTCTACTTATCTAAACGAAATACCACGAAGCTGTGACGCTTACAAACAAGCAATAATTGACGTTCAATTCATTCAGTTTTTCTTCAGTCTAATCGCTCATCCGAGATGTCTCAAGGAGATAGATTAACACAAGATGACAGCAGCTGAAAACCAAACGAAGCACGACGCCATTTTGTTGTTTGTTCTCCTGATAACGATACTCTGAAGCGATATCTTCGTGTTCCATTTCACTAGACCATCTCAAACAACAAGTAAAACGCATTCGGAAACCCTACTTACCTTATCATCAGCTTATATAAGTTTTCTCTTTGTTTCAATCCATCCGCCATTGCGAGAGATACAAAAGATGTCAAAAAGCGTGCTTCAGGCGACTCTTGGCCGGGAATGTTACGACCAATTACGATCTATACCGAAGATATTCCGAATGCTGCTGTGCTCGGCCCGGGGAAGTAGAAGGAGGAGTGAGGAAGGAAATAAAGAAGGTTATCGAAAACAAGTTTGAAATCACTGCCTTGTCATAAAGAATAACAGCTTTCGAAGATATTTTTTAATTCAGACTTTTTAAGATAGGACGATGGACGATCTCAGACTTTTGGCCCAAATATTCCTTGAATAGACTAGTTTCGAATTGTTAGTGCGAGAAAGTCTGGTAACTAATTGAGAGCACCAAGTCGAGGCTGAGGGGAATAAGCGCTTATTTTGAAATGTTCAGCAGGCAACCGTGGACGATGATCCTACCCTTGTACTTTGGATCAGCGATGAACTGATCGGCCCAAAATAACGAATATGAAATATACAAATACAGGCAAGACCGTTACAACGTAGATAAGTAAATTTTAAGACGGAGCACTATATTTCGGCTGGCCAAACCAGCCTTCTTCAGGTGCAGTGGGAATTTACAGAGAATTGGGGTGATGCTTCATAGATAGCTGTATGATGTAACAGCGAAAATCAGACCTGAAAAAAATCAGGCCTGTACGGGATTCGAACCACTGACCTCTGCGATACTAGTGCAGCGCTCTACCAATTGAGCTAACAAGCCAACTGGGAGCAGGCCGTTAAGTTGATTCGTAATAAACCCGTGATGATAATAAACCCGTGATGATAATAAACCCGTGATGATAATAAACCCGTGATGATAATAAACCCGTGATTTATCATCACGGGTTTATTACGAATCAACTTAACGGCCTGCTCCCAGTTGGCTTGTTAGCTCAATTGGTAGAGCGCTGCACTAGTATCGCAGAGGTCAGTGGTTCGAATCCCGTACAGGCCTGATTTTATTTCAGGTCTGGTTTTCGCTATTGCATAAATAGCGCTCTCTACTACGAGGATCGTGCATCATACGTAATAAGCTTTAAGCTCCACACATGATCATCATTATTATAACAATCTTAAGCAAGAAGTCTCACAGGACTTTTTAGGTTTATCTGGGAGACCCCTTTCACTACTAGATAAGACAATGCTCATTGAAGACAAACTAAATATAATTTACGATCCTTTCATCCCAGTTACCCGGGTATTTTCTTTGCGCGCCCCATGCATTTGATGGTTGTGAATGGTATGCGCTCTCCTACGTCAAACGTAATGCATTCAGTCTCGTGTCAATGACAGTTTTGTCAATTTCCCTACACTTTTACAGGGGGAGGGGGGGAAAGGAGAAGATACACCACTTAACATATTTTTATTTTAAACTCATCCAACATAGGACAACTTCTAGGGAAAAGAGATAATGCCCGGGATCCACGGAAGGAATTTCTGAATAATGACCTTGTTTTGAAGGCTAAGACACGTAATTTTCCACCCCAAATTTCAGAGGTAGCCTATGTAAGTTGCACATGGATTGCTCTTTGTCGAAGACAAGATTTGGTGGCATTCGTGTGAAAATTTAGCTTGGATGATACATTCTGGTTCCTTCTCCTCCATCATTCTTTTGAAACTGAAAACTTAATTACATTCTCGATTTTGAACCAAAATGGTTCAAAAATCAATCTTCTGGGACGGCTCATACTTGTATAACTTACATTGTGGGGGGTGGGGGGTCCTCTGGAACTTCCTTGTTCAAATGGACTTTGCTCTAACATTATCGAGTCCAAACGCGCATTTATGTTACCTGATAACTTTTCGAGCTCTTCCCCCCACCTCCCCCCCCCTAACCCTCGCGTTCAGGTCAACGAGAGGACAGAAGGCTCGGCCAACGTTCACTTATCAGACTGTAACTTTATCTGGTCGATATCAGGTTGTAGACGCGTGAAACGACTTATCAGATAGTCGCCCCAGAATAACATCATTTAGGGTGGCAAACAAACATTTATCTTTCAGCTCAAAACAGGGATGTCGAAGTCAAAATCGAAGGACGGGGCATTCAGCCGAATTTACAAAAAAACTGAATTCGATGAGCTACTGATTAAACTTGGCGGATGGTCAAGATTTCAGCAAATTCAGTGGGTGCTTATATTCCTTGCCACTATCCCACAGGCCTGGTATACATATGCTCCAGCATTTGCTGCCCGTAAGCCAAAAGATCGCGACTTCTTTTGCCTAGACAACGCAGATATTCGAGGAAAGGACTTTTGTGCGGCTTGGGAAAACAGTACAGTTTGTCGGAAAGTTGGATATGAAGTGACATTTTCGTCCATCGTTACAGAGGTATGTAAAATTTGTGCAGTAGGCCTTTAAAGCGTACAGTGTACATTTCTGTCCTGATTAAAAGCCGAACCATAGAACACACAAGCGGGAATTAGACAGTGACAAACGATTTTAGTCGACTTACCAACACACGTAGAACTAAAGGGCATCAGATTTGATTATTTACACAGCTGATTTCTAAGCAGTGTCTTTCGATCGTGTCCAAAAAGGGAAATATAAACGTCTTCGTTTGCCCTATTTCTTCCTTACTGCTAATTGCTAGTGTGTTTTATATGCAGTGAACTTAGCCGATCATAAGGGCAACATCTGGCGAAAAAATTGAAAATGTCGAACGTACCTGATTGAGTTGAATTTTGTTTACAAAGACAATTCGCCTGTCACGCTATAATTCAGGGCTGGTCTTAATCCAGATTTCAAGTGGAAACTGACGATCGATGTTTTCCATTTTGTGGTTTGAATTTATTCCTAGCTCCCTTCTCTTCCTTTACAATCCAACGTCTTTGGTCGCGGAAAGTGTTTATTTTTTCTATTTGTGCTTTTGAAATACGATCTATTCCCCTGTTTTGTTTTTTCCTTATTTAATCGTAATTTATCTACGCTGAGGTTTTCAAAGGATTTACGCCACCGTTGGCCGTAAACAGATATCGAGAGCGATTGAGAATTTCTGTCAAGGAAATAAGTTGCTTCGTTAATTACAACCGGAAACCACACGACCGCGAAAAGATCATGAAATAAGGAAATTATCGAAGAAAAAATACAATAGAAATGGAAAGTTCCGTTTTGACGATAATTGCAGCGAAACTTTTAGCGTCATCTGAGTAAGATGTACTGTAAAGAACGTATGAAATTTTACGAATTTTAAGGGCCAACAAGATGATGTAATTTTTTGAAAAAAAAGTCACGCAATTTGGATGATTTTGAACTCGAAGAAACTGCTCTCGCGCGAGGTCTTATCTAGTTCCTAGTCTTCTGAGTTTCGCTGTGGTCGTCTGTTTCGTTTCATGGGCGTGCCTTTGCTCATCGCCTTTCGCAGCCTGTGTACAGCCGCCCCTACCCTCCAAAAAGACATCGGGAAATTATAAAAAGTGATTAACGCTGACCAAAATTTAGGTTGCTCACTAAAAGTATGCTCACCTGACAAGTTCAAAACCGATAGTTTTTCAAAGTGGCGATTTTCTTCTGGAGGGTAGGGGCGGCTGTACATAGGCTATCCTTCGTCAACGGGAAGGTATGCCCTGTCGACTTGTGAAAAATTGCAACTCTTCTCCCATGCGTATCTGAAGTTACATCAATGCTTTGCCAAAACTCGCTTGCTCTCAAAATGTGCAGTAGGAAACTGGAAAGGGGCTCAGAACAGATTTTAGCACCGTCTCGCTGCGAAATTCGCGAAAACCAAGTTGGCCCTGATCTGTTTCACAGAATTTTCGTTTCTAAACATATACCATATCTATAGACCAACTTCGTTTCAAGGTTTTTTCTTGCTCCTGCTTCCTACAGCGAAAGAGGAGCGGAAGGAAGCGGGAACGAGGCTGCGTATCCACTTGACAACAAATTGCCTATCGCATATTGTAGCACTCGTTACTTCACAATAATTCAACAGAAAATTTCTTGAATCACCTTCGCTTAAAAGACAGGAATGCGATTAATTTCATTTCATTTTTTCAATGAATAAAAACCTTCTTGGTACCAACATTTATTTATCACCAGGGAGGGGTACGAGGATTTTGGTTGTGTCACAATAAAATCTACTTGGTTCCCCCACTAAGGCTCGGTACTTTTCTAACGATCTCCCCTCATGGCAGCAATTTTCTTTAGTGCCCCCTTTACAATTTTTAACTCTGACTGATTCCCCCTCCTTTCCGATCCCCGACCCCCACCCCCTTTAGTCGATAAATGATAACGATTCCCCCCCCTTATGGTCCTTTTTTTCAGTGGGATATTTTGTGCGATGACGCCAAAAAGTACGTTCCACTTACAAAGACTATCTTTTATGCGGGTAAGCTGTTTGGCGCTTATTTCTTCGGCTGGGTGTCTGACAGGTATGGACGCCGTACAACTTTCCTTATCACCATGCTGGTGCAGTTTATCGCCTCTCTGATTGAGAGTTTCTCCACCAACTTCATTATGTATGTCATCCTGAGGGTTCCCCTTGGGGTCTGCAGTGGAGGTGAGGATTTTTCGGTAATGATCATTCTACTTGTCAAAGAATATAGGCTAAATTTTTTTAATTGGCAATTGTGGTCCATGTAATCTTCCTCAGCTTAACTGCAAACGTTTCTTTTATTTCCTATTCTGGACCTCTCAGATAATCGAGAGCGCGCAAGGCCAAAGGAGCAAGTAAAATAGAAGCAACGAACTTCCTCTCCCCCCTTCCCCCCACTCATTCCTTTTCTTTTTGTCTTTTTTCTCTTCTCGTTTTTGCCCTAACCCCTCTCGGGATTCCGATCATTATTTCCTTTCCCCTTTGGCTGCAGTGAAATAGAAAGGACTGCCACGCAAGTTATACTCCTTCCTCTTTAGTTCATCTATTTGTAAATCGTAAAAGGAGAGAAGAACAGCTCTAATCTGGTCAAACGATTTAATACGACGTTTCGGCTTCAAGAACGAACAGGTTAAAGAATTAAAAATCAAAAAATCCTCCTAAATATTTAGGCAATAAGTGCAAGTCTGGCAATATCGTCTAGTTTTTATTCTCGCTCGAATTTTAAATCCTCTCTGTCTTTTTCGCAGGCTGTCTGATAGCAGGCTTTCTGCTGATGACTGAGATGGCCACACCCGAGTGGAGACGTTGGGCGAACTGTTTATCACAAGGAGCCTATGGAGTTGGGATTGCTGTGCAAGCTTTGATTGCGTATTTTGTCAGAGGCTGGAAACCGTTCAGTTTGGTTATAACGCTTCTAAATGTGCCTTTCATCGCGTTTTACTGGTAGGTTTAGAGGTTTACGTGACCTTCGATGGGTGACCTTTGAATTCCCCCTGTTATTCCAACCCAACACTGGCTATATGTGTATACATATAATTTGGATATATCAACAAAGTTGAAATGGTAAGTTGGCCACCGTAATGATTACAAAAGCTGACGTTTCGAGCGTTAGCCCTTCGTCGGAGCGAATAGAGGAATTGTAGGTTGTGTGTGCTTTTAAAGGCAGAAAATGGAGCTACGTTATTGGTGGGAGCATGGCAACGAGAAAAACATGAATAAATTAGTGGAATGAAAAGCGTTCGTTGATCCCTGTGGGATTTAGACTGCCGGTTTGAGAGGATATTACATGGCCGCTTGGAGATACGAATTTTATCTTCGAGTGCTGAAAGTATCTCTCACGAGTGAGCGCAGTGAACGACTGAGAGGTACTTTCAGCACGAGAAGATAAAATTCGTATCCCCAAGCGGTCATGTAATTTTCTGGTTATTATATAGATACTGATGAAATTTCAAATCAACCGACCGCGCGCCTGAGCGAGAAGATGTACTGTAATTGGGTAATTATTTTGGTAACCATGGCCACACCAATATCCTCGCACGTGAAAGACAAAAATAGTATCTTCACTGCGCGCGGTGAAGATATGATTTTTTAGTAAAAGGAGAAATCCTGGTATTTCATCAGTATCTATGTAATAAATCATTTTAATATATGATTTGATTCATATTCACGTTTAGCCTGTGCGGTTTGCTTGCAATCTGGAGGGAGAAGGGAAAGTTATTTCGAGCTCATAGATCGATCGTTGAGTTCCCAACCGTCCTGCATTGTATCATTGTAAGCTTTCGATTCGACCTTGTTGAGCAGCGTTGTTGCTGTACTTTGCGACGGCGATTAGCAGTGAACATTATTATTATTAGAATCAAATTTTACCTCTGCCGTCCCTCCCTTTCTTTTTGTGCACTACTCGCCCCACTTCGTGTGATAAGCAGTTTTCTGGGTTGCCTTTCTGAAATTGCTTAAATTCAAGTTTACTTGGACGGATCTTTTCTGTACTCAAAATTTTTTTGTTTATATTTTGTTTCATTTTTCAGGAAAGGAAGATGATCTGCCCAGCCTTATCGTTGTACTGTCCATGATCGGAAAGTTTACCATCTCCGCCGCTTACTATCAGATATACATACACACGGCTGAGCTGTATCCCACAGTCATAAGGTGAATAACTCAAACACACACACACACACACACACACACACACACACACATGTATCAATAGACCTTGAGATATGTCGTCTACGTAAGTGATAGAGCTGTTCTCAATTGAGTTTCGTAAAACAAAAACCAACTAACAACACCGGCTAATCAAGAGTGAAGGTCGACTAACCTCGTTCAAAAGGCCTTATTCCGCCCCACCTCCAACTAAAGGAAAAGGCCCTACGAACGAGTTTGAAGGTCGACATCATCGTTTTGATTCTAATAGGTTACGAAGGTAGCGGCGAGTTTTCTGGACCACGACAGAGCGTTAGCGAAAACCAAAAGCAGTCATGGATTATCTTTGACGGTCGATTGAAAATTGTTCTGTATTGATGGCCTTTCGAACTTGAACAAAGTCACTTTTTTAGACCCCCATCTTGGAACAAGTTCATTTTAAGTTCTGTGTGAAAGAAACGACTTCAAAAAAGATGGCCCGTGTTTTTTTTTTTTTTCTTTGAACGAGAACTAACAATACAAACGTCTGGGAAAAGTTCAGTTAGTTTCTAGCCAGGTCTTAACTCTGTCCCTAATAACGAAAAGAAATTTTTTTTTTTTATGTGGCGTAATTTTGGCGAAGACGCTTGCTCTACCTCAGCCGAAAACTTGAGAAAGTGCGTAGCCATGATTTTTCACAAGGTAGTTCGCGGTTACAAATCTTACGTGTTCTTCATGAGGTGGCTCATGATACCGCTGCTCTGCCCTGCCCATTAGTAAGCTCGTTTTCAGGTAGCGAGGATTAGCCAAAGTAATAAGCACTGGCAGGGACCCATGATGGGCTCTTAGCACTGGGAAAGATTTGTGTTGTGCAGATTCTTCGGACTCGAGCTGTTTCGCCCTTCCCTCCCCACCCTCTTTCACCCTTCAGTCATCCTTCCATTAAGTTATGTCCCTGCAAGGGCGTAGCCGGGGGGGTCCTGGGGTGCCCGTGACCCCCCCCCTGGTCGGTCTTCTTTAGAGCAAACAACCAACAATATTAAGGTGGCGAAAACGCCATGACAATATCTTGGCCGTAAAAGCCATTGATATGGGCCTTCATGCCACGATAATACGACTGAGCCCGCTGATACACGCGGGAGAGCAGCGGTGTAAATGGTGAGTAGCCTCTGTGACCCCCCCCTTTGAAAAATCCTGGCTACGCCCCTGCCCTGTAGGCTTATGATGGGTAACACTTTCGTGGAACGGCGACTCAAATATCTATGTTTTCATCTGCTATCCACAAATGATAACTGTGTCGAGAAAGTGAATCGCAATGATTGGATGATATTTACCTATATTTGTTATTCATTTAATAAACAGAACAATCGGCGTGGGATTTGCATCACTGTGTGCGAGAATCGGTGGAATGGCGGCACCTTACATTGCGGTAAGGAGGCACCTCCTCGTTGATTAGATTCTTTACCAGGATATTTTTACTAAGGAAAGCATGCTCGAATTTTCCAAGCAATTCTAAGGAAGGAAAATATTTCCGCATAGCCTTAATAGGAAGCGAATTTTATTTGTGCTCTAAAACATTTGAACGGAAGAGGAATAATGAAAATATGGGAAATAGTTTTTCGCCAAGTTTCTTCCCGTTCCCAGCTTCGCTGCTCGAAGTTTCTAGGCGCGCAATTTCATTGATTAAGATTTTGGATAGGGTGTTTAAGTTTTCCATTTTTTCTCAGATTTAGATTTCTATCAAGCTTTCATCTTGAGTAAATTATTTCAAATCAAAATTCTCTGATAACGGAGACTTTCAAAACGATCGCCAGATGATTAACTCAGCCATCCCGGACAAGGCATGTAGATAGCCTATGGCTCCAAATACATTACAGCAATCATAAGAAAGGAAGGTGGATATCACAAGGGGCTAGTTAGAAGCCAAAGAATAAACGTGCAATTTCCGCGGGAAAACGCGCGTAACATATGATAGAGTCGAGGAAATTTTTTCCTTTTTTATCTGATTGGTTCGGTGAGAACGTGGCGCGAATTTTCTTAGCCATTCGCAGAGTGCAGTGAGACTTAGAACGTTCAGCTAGAAATTGCTCAATCATTCTTCATTTCTCATTTGCAGGACAGCACAGGATTCGAAGTGGCAGCGATCGTGTTTGGCGTGACGACATTTTCGGCTGGTGTTGTGACCATGATGTTACCGGAGACTCGTGGAAAGCCTCTTCCGGATTTTGTCGGAAAATCGAGTTCGAGTTCGAGTTCGGAGGAAGAGCTTGTCCGACTTGAAGAATCCGCAGAAGAATCACCGACTAGTTACACATCCACTGTTTAGAGTTGTAGGGTTGGGTTTTAAGATTGAGCGGTAGAGCAATCTGGAGGGAGAAGGGAAAGTTATTTCGAGCTCATAGATCGATCGTTGAGAAACGTTGTAATGACTAGAGATGACTATAGGGGTTGCTATCAGGCTGTCAGAACTAATTTGTCTCAAAACAACTACAAACAAACTCACAAGCCTGGAAGCAACGGTGCTTATGATACCCATACTTGAATTAGCTTTGCCTTCGAAAGTGTCGCCGAGTTTTCTTTTGCCTTCTTTTGTTTTCTCTTTTAGATTTCTAATAAGAATTGAATTTTCTCACGCTTATTTTGCTGGACAGCGGTTGTTCCTTAGAAAACATTTCCTATGAAAATTTGCGCGGGAAATTGGCGCGCAGGCGGCATAAAATGAATCCTATGCGCATGTAGTACGTTTATTAACTGCTAGATCCTTTCCTTTGTTCAGGTTAATTCCTGAGTCTCCTCGTTGGCTTTCCGCTAGAGGAAGAGTCAAGGAAGCAGAAGAGATCTTGCGTAAGATCGCAAGGAAGAATGGATTCGAGTATCCTGAGGGAGCAATACAAAACATGCAAGATCCAAGCAAGGAGAGTGAACAAACGATGACATATCACTTTTGGCATCTGTTTAGCACCCGATACTTGGTGATAATCACTTTGGTTGAAGGGTGGTCTTGGTTAGTTAAAACGGATACTGATTGCATCTCACTTACTTTTCTCTTGAAAAGTGTGACAAGTATTGGGGAAAGAGTCTGTGTAGGAGATCGTTTGAATCATGGGATTGATTTATAAGGAGTGAAAACAGCGAAAACTTTGCCGAATCAAAAGTATTACTACTTTTATAATTTGTTTTAATCTTAACGATTATGTCAAGTTGTACAAGGTCATGTCTCGCGGTTTACTTATTTACTTGGTTTAGCGATTTATCATCGATTGATTAATAAATTCATTAATTTTCCTATCAACATGTGAGTAATTTATACAGCCAATATTATATCTAACAATTAGTATATACTAAAACAGTGGATAGCGTTGAAGGCGCGCTCTGATTGGCTAGTCAAACTCCGAATATCCTTTGCTATTTACCTCCGAGCAACTCGGGAAAAAATGGCGCCCCGGTTTGCATCCGTGACAAGCGAAGAAATCACTCAAATTAACGACGGTGGTGTATATTATCTCACTGTTTTAGTATATACTAAAACAACTATTCACCTCAGTGTCGGTGGTTAGCGGTGGATATTTACCTCGCCGCTTCGCGGCTCGGTAAATATCCACCACTAACCACCTCCACTNGCACATACGAGGGTGGAGTTCGGAACACTCCACCCCTTCTCCCTGGGCCCGCTGATTATTTTGTTTAGGGCTAGTTTTAGAGTAATTCGGATCCGTATTTGAACGAAAATAACGTCGAATCGATGGTTCTAACAAAGAAAATCAAAACAAAAACAAAAACAAAAGGAGAAGAAGAAGAGAAAAGAGTGTTGGAAACAGCTAATTCCAGAAATCTTTCATTTGGGCCTATTAATATCAATAATTTAAAAAAACCAATACTCGGGTGTTTTTCCGATGTTATTTGTTGTAAACATAACAAATTTTAACTGATGAAATTTCCGGGTGCTTATTTATTATGAGTCTTTTTAATCAAGGTTATCGCAAACAATAAAGGACTATATAGTGTCAAAGTGTCTGGAAAACAATAAATAACGGGGTCAAATCTAAATAGATTCAAAATCTAATAATCTGATAAGTATAAAAATGTCTAAAACTATACAGAAAAGCGAAAGGTGAATGGCAAGTCTAGAACCCTATGTACAAAGCTGCTAAGAAGCATTCAACAATGTCAATGGCTCCTTCGGCAGCTGCGATTTCAACGTAACATATAGTGTGTCTCACCATGTAATCGCTTGTAATGAATTTCCCGAGCTATCGCTAGAAGCCCTACTGTAAAACAAGAGGCCAACTGGTTACATTTCATTTTATGAAGCATGATGCTCCACTCTAATTGGTTGGTTTCTGACAGCTGTGATTAGCGCATTTAGATCGTCGTGCCAAGCAATATTGCTGTGGAAAAATCTTAGATCAATCAAATTTATGTGGGTTTATCAGCGAAGGTGCGCGAGATGTACAGAAGAGCCCGAAGGTAAACCCGCTTGTTTCATTCCCGTAGGCCACCATTATCCTTTGCGCGATCTCTGGTTACCAGAGTACTTGCAACGCAATCTGACTCTTCCGGCCAGCAGGTTAGGCACCGAGTGAAATTTTTTCTGAACTCGCAAGTTAATTTGACATTTACTCCCCTTAAGTTAGTCTCCCTCGCAGCCGTTTTTAGTCTCGTCACGCAACGCGTTTGTGGAGAGAAGCGTTGCGTGACGAGACTAAAAACGGCTGCGAGGGAGACTACCCTTAAGTAGACCATCAAGAAGTCTAAGAACCTAGGATTCCCATCCTAGCTTAATAAGTTTTTGCCCTACGTAAAATTTCTTGCAACGGAGCAAATTAATTAGCGCGAGTATCCAGCGTATGAAGGGCGTGCGTGACCTCATAACCGCGTGGTATATCAAGTTCATGCGTGTTGCCTACAGAATCAGTTTCTTTTAGTTTTAAAATTAAAATGACATTTCATATCCTGGATTGATTTCCTGGATTGATTTCACACCCGGCCTCTCTAAGCAACCTGCGGTTTTCGAAGCGTTCTGTAAACTCTAGCTGAAAAACTCCGACTCTCATTTTCTGTTATGTTAAACCTTGAATAAACATTTGAAAAATCTTTGATCTCATTCAAATTTTTGTTTCCTGGTGGGCGTACTGAAAGGTAATACGTTTCGCAGTTAAGGTATGCATACGTAAATTCAGTCGCCCCTCTCCGAGTACACCGCCTACACTACTCATGTAGACCCCACACTCCAAATTGCGCAAAAAGGCAATCATGAAATGAAAGCCAAATCATTTAAAACTATTTATAAACCTTTTATTCTAACCATCGCTTCTTTTTGAAGTTTTTTTTTTTTTTGTCTAGACTTTTTCATTTTTCACGGTCGTTGAATCGGAGAATTGATGTCCCAGTAGTACGATGATCAAATTCTTTCGAACTTCCGGCCACTTCCGGTTAGATAGATGATCTATCGGTGATGTCTTTTGAAACACCAAATATTTCTTTCTGAATTCTTAAAATCTCTGAACTGCGAAAAATTTGAGTTCGATCTATGTAATTGAGAACTAAGTGTCTAATGTTCAGAAAAAAAAAAAGAATTTTCTACACGGATTCACAGCCCCAGGCAGTAACGGTTTGAAGATTTTGCTAACTCAACAAAAGGCAGCAAATGATTTATGTCTCGTTTTTTAAGGAGGTGACATAAAATTAACCCGATTAAGCAGAAACTGAGGCAATTAAGGAGTGAATTGTGGTTTTTACTGATTCAATTTAGAGCGTTTATATGCGCAAATTTTAAGCACGCATTTCCGCTGTTTTCAAACAATGCTCCTAGAAAGAATATCTATGTTATTCTTGACCAATCAAAATTCGTCTTTTGTTTAACTACCAAGGTCCCGGATAACAACAGGAAACGGCCTCGGTAAAGAAAAACCTCAGATATTGGCCGAAGTATCCAAAATTTGATCCAATTTTTCCGCCAGTTACGGCTTCTTTGAAGAAACATGGCCGAGATAGACGAATCTAAGAGGCCCTCTGTGCGTCAAGGTAAGATATTGCATCAAAAATGTCAAAGATCGTACTAAAGTGAATCCCGTGAAATCGATGTGACGAGATTCAATGGTGATCGCTTGACTTCGGATTTGTGTATTCGTTTAATTTCATGCACGGGAAATAAGTGACAAATAGCAAAATTGCGGCGTATTTCATTCGAAATGTTTCAAAAGAAACGTGTAATTTTATATTCTAATAACTTGAGGCTGTGTTTGTAGTGATTTCAAACGTTTTTATCGAAGAAATATGGCAAATGCATGTTTAAATTTACTTTGTGTTATGTCCGTTCGAGGGTTGTCGACTCTGCTCAAATCGGCATGTTGCAAAGGGAAGGTTATCAGCTGAGGCTCTTTTTGTTGCTCATTGTAATCCACCTTGTCTGTGTATTGCACAGAATTTAACTTTCAAACCTAGGAGGTGTTGGGTGAATTAACTCACAGCTGTTTATCTGCCCATGTAAGCGGGGCGGTTACAGTTTTTACTTCGCAAAGTTTTAAAATTTTCCAAAAAAAAATTTATAGGGGCTCGGTACAACCGATCGTTTAATAGTACTTAAAAATAACTCGTATTTCGAAGCGTGTTAAGCCTACCAAGAAGACTTGTCAGGCCAAATGTTGCTGATGGCGTTGAGTGAACGAAATTGTCAACACTGAAACTTAGTGCGCCATTTTGTCTCTCTTGTGATTATCATGCAAGCCAGAAGTCTCCGATGATCATTAAATACTAGCCGGGATTAATCACTATTGTTCCAAATTGTATCCTTAGATACAGTTAAGCGAAAGACATAGCAGATCGAAATAAGGACAAGCTTGTAGAGGCGAATTTTGCAAGCAAACAAGCTTCGTCCGCATGTAGAATCAAGATGAGTTCGAAAATGGCTATCAATTCAAATTCGTCTCTAAATCTTGTAAACTTTAATTTACCTAAAAATATCATTTTTGGTATGTTGCCAGGCATTTAACAGTGTAACTGTATTTCAAGCCTTGACGCTGACCGCATGGGAAGCAAAATATTTCTTCTGCCGGCAAGGAATACTCCATGAGAAGTTTTTTGTCCTACATGTAAATATCTAAATTCATTTTGCTGAGATTTGAAAGTAAATGTCTTTGATACTCAGTTGAGGTTCATTACAGAAAGTAAACATCGATCTCGATTGAATAAACTAGATAATTGACATTTCCTTTTTCCATAAGCATTAACAAATATTTACGAGATAAAACTCTGCAATGGTGAATTGTGTAATAGAACATATACATCCTTTAAAAATCTGAAATTGAGATGTTGAAATTAGTACATTGAAATTGTAACTAAGGAAAAAAATATGTTTTAGTTTGAAGTGTTCAATTTTTTTTTATTTTTGGGTTTTAAGACAGTAATTGTGTGCAGTAGATAAAACTGCCTTTTACATACGAGATCATTTCAGGAAATTTAAGCAAATGCAATTTTGATTACAAATTTTGTGGCAAAATTTGATACCCAGCATGAGGTATCTTCCTTATTTTATTTAAAATCCAAACAGAAGGTTGTTTTTAATGTAACATGACAGTCAAGTCTTGCTCTTAAGATTTCAAAATCATGGAGTGATCTGAAACTCTTGTACTTTAATGAGTGCCAAGAGGACCCCTTGTACAGCTGTTTCTTAAAGATGCAGGAACAATTCTTTTTTATACACTTTCTCAGGTTTTGGTGATTGTTTCCACATTATCAAAAACACTGTCTTAATGAAAACAATGCATGATCGATAAAAACCCACAGGTTTTGTAGTATTAAGAATGCTCTATTGTTTGAAAACACAAAGCATCTCATTTGGAGTCTCTTTGTCTTGAACATCATTTGTTTTCAAATGTCCCTTATGACAAAAAAAAGTTTAATTTTAAATGCTGTCAGTAATTTCATTTTCAGAACAAAAATTGGCATTTCTGGTTTGCGATTGAAAAGGACGCATAGATAAATTTTTAATAGAGTCAGTTCCTACAGAGACTCTGAATGAAATTTTTTGACTAATTCATGGCTATGTTAATTGCATTTTAGTTGTTTTTTTGTTATTAAACAATTGCATCATGTATTTGAGGTAGTTGATAGTTGATAAGGGCAAACCCAAAATCAACTGTCATGCATGGAAATAAAGAGTGATAATCTGCGGTAAGCAGTTGACATACTTATGGACACTTTTTGTTTGTGATTCCTGTTTTTTTCGCATTCCCATAAGCAGACATTATCTCAAAGGCAAGCGGACACAGATGCTTTTGAGTGTGAAAATTGGATTTTTGTATAGGTTAAGGTCTTTCGTAAGTGGACACCATTGTATAGTGATTGACTCTTGGCAATAAAATTTGTCTTGAATTTGTAAATCAACAAAATTTATGACCTTTAACAGAGCAACAGAACAGTGAGGATCAGTTTTACCAAATCTCCATTGTCTGCAGGAAAGCAAACTGTGGGTTTGTTTGACATTAACAAGAGTCTTACATCATACTCTTCCAGAAGCGGGCATCCACTCTATTTTGTCCATGTAGTGTTAGAATAATTCAAACAGTACTATCAATGGATTCTTTTTCTAATTCTGAAGGGTTTCTCCTTATGAGAGAGTTGACTGCATCTTATTTACTATATCAATATTCTTGTCACTTCTCTGTTTCACATCGTTCTAAAATTTTTAGGGAGAATTCACATACTGATCACTCCTGGGAGTCAAAGGATAAACATCAAGAAGGAGAAGGCTTATGAGGGAGGTGGCTTTTGAGGGAGGGGTGCTTATTAGAGCACCCGGTAGCTTGTTAGATTGGGGGGCTTATTAAAGAGGGGGAGCTTATCAAAGAGGGGGGCTTTTTAGAGAAGGGGCTTATTAGAGAAGGGGGCTTTTTAGAGAGGGGGGGCTTATTAGAGAGGGGAAGCTTATTAGAGAGGGGGCTTTTAGAGAGGGGGGCTTATTAGAGAGGGGAGTTTATCAGAGGGAGACTTTTTAGAGAGGAAGGCTTTTTAGACAGGGTACATATTAGAGAGGGGAGCTTATCAGAGAGGGGGACTGATTAGAGAGGGGAAGCTTATCAGAGAGGGGGCTTATTAGAGGGTGGGCTTGTCAGAGAGGAGGGCTTTTAGAGAGGGGGAGGTTATCAGAGAGGGGGGCTTATGAGAGAGGGTAGCTTATAAGGGATGGAAGGGCTTCCGATGGAGAGGGGCTTTAAGGGTTGAAGGATCATTTTAAACTTACTGAGGATCATGTATGTCTTGATCAAATTGATATCAATGAAATTATGTGATTTGTCTCATCAGAAAACTGATTGTATTTGATTTGCTTTGTATATGTTTTCCAGTGCGTCAGGAATTCATGGTACGGGAAGATGGAGCATTAGCTCAACGGCTACAGGATGAAGAATGTAAGTTTGCCATCCATTTCTATATTTTGCTCTTTTTCTGATTATTACATTTTCTCCTCTTTAGTGTTTGTATACCATGGATAACGATTGTATTCAGGTTTATTTTGACCATATAAAACCTAAATAAAAAAGAAAAGGTTCAAGAGAATAAGGGAATACTGCTTGTTATCAGTTGTTACAATCAGTGTCAAAATTATTTCAATGTATCAACAAAGTCGAAATGATAAATTGGCCACTGTTAGAATTATAAAAGCTGACATTTCGAGCGTTGGCCCTTCGTCGGAGCGAATGATGAAGGGCTAACGTTTGAAATGTCAGCTTTTACAATCATAACGGTGGCCAATTTACCATTTCAACTTTGTTGATAAATTGAAATTATTTCGTTACCCCCACCAACGCAGCCCCAAACAGTTTCTTTAGAAACTATCAGCCTTTATTCAGTGTCAAAATTAGTCGACACATCATATCAGAATAGTCCTATTGATGTGAAGAATACCAATCCTTGGTTCTCCTCCACTATAAATGATGAACAGCCCCTTCTCCACTCAGTGTTGGCTCAAAGGTCATGGAATCACAATACAACATTGTTCTGGGGGCAAGGGGGCAAATTGTTTTAGGGGAAGGGAAGGGGGCAAATAGATTAACTCAACAATTAAAGGTAAAAGAGATAAACTGAAGTAATAGGGGGTTGAAAAGATCAATGTGTTAACAATTTTGTTGCTGATTGTAACTTTCAAAAGCATTAATTTGCAGCCCTCGGAGTTTTATAATGCCACTCACAGTTTGTATGCACAACTAACAACAACTAAGAACGACTGGCATCTAATTTCTCAGTATGTCTATAATGTCATCCCTCAATCAAACCTTAAGCTCCCAACGATATTCAAGGTCTTTGTGGCAAACTGCTCTGTGTGTGCAGTGCTTGCAACTAATTTGTTCTTTTGTCGTTCATACAGTTGGCCATCACTATATAAGAAACCGAAGTGAACGGAAAACAGTACGAGAGGATGTCAAAGCAGCAAAGATAACTTATTTGGAAGAAGTCAAACAGGCTCAACTCCTTCCTTGTGAGGAATTCCAGCACATGTAAGGATTGTTTTAAAATATCGTTCGTATTGACTTAAAATTTTATAACTACTTGGAAGGAAATGAATTTTATTTAGTAATAATATTTTATTAATACCTCTTGCTCACTGAGTTTGAGGCCCATACTGGGAGTTATGGACCAAGTTCTTTCTGCCTGGACTTGTGCCCCAAGCCTGAAGCGAAAAAAAAAACAAGGTTCCATAACTTATGGTATGGCCTGAGAACATGAGTTTAGTAAGAGATATCATGTTATAAATATCTATACAGGGTTCAAATAGAGGATTTCAATTCAAACAAGCGTTTGATTTTAGCTGTCATGCATTTAGTATGATGCTCATGTGGTATGTTTTATCAATATTATGCCTCTTTGAAATTGTTTATTTGTGGAATTTGTGTAATAAGCAATACAAATAAAATGCACTGATAGTCTTTGGATCATTTACAGCCTTCTAGTGATGTCCTAGCTGTCACCCTGTCAGACAATATCAAATTGGGATACATAACGCTGTCATATTTACTCAAAGTCCAATATTAATTTTTCCTCCAGCAAGCAGTAACTGTTATCTGGGAGGCTCAGTTTCAAGTTCTGTTAAAATCTTAAAATTTTTAGGCTTTTTTTTCTGCAATTGCTAAAACTACCTTCCACCTGAGAGGATAAATTTTTTTGCTTGCTTGATTATATAATTACAAGAAACTGGTATTGATTTGGATAACTTCTCAGTCATTGTAGATATTGAACAGGAAATATTTTAAAATAATTTCATCCCTTGACCAAATTGGATAAGGAAATATTAGTTGTCTTTGATATAAAAATGTCTGGTATGTAATATGCATTAGGTTTGTGTTCCAAGGTAAATGTGAATCATTATTACTGGAATGTGTTCTATTCTATTCCCAATTTATTTCAACTGAAAGCATACCCTATAAATAGATACAGGATGGTGATCATTATAAAACTAGTGGATCAGATAAATATATTTTCTTTGCGGTGTTCATGATGAGTACATGTAAACCACTAACCATTCTGTGATGTTTGTAAGAAAAATCCTAGGGTAGGATAGACCAGTCATCAATTTCCATAAGTTTATCTCACTGGCTGTTGAAACTTAGCAGTAATGTACTGATACTGAAAAAAGCTTCTGGTTGGATCTTTCTTTATGATCAGTTTTATTTTACATGCATCAGCTTTATTGTACATTATTTTGAATAATGATTAAAGTGGAGTAACATGTCAGAACAATACATTTGGTGTTTATAATAACTAGTAAACCATCAAAGGTAAAGTGATGTCAATTGAAAGATGAATCATGACATAGTCGAAAACCGGTATTCACTGTCTTAAGCATATTTTCAGTTTGCCTTGATGGCTTTTTAATCTTAGCAGTTATAAGCTGAAACACAATCATTTCAGTAACTCCCAAGATCCAACTGTTGATTCTCCCCTCTGACTGCTACATATTTTGTAGTAGATTAGTTAAAGATAACAGCTACTTAATGATAAGTTTGAGTTATTGTTTATTAGAGAGAAGTTACATGTAAATCACATCTGGGAGTGAAATGGTTAAAAAGCCTTGAATTTTTATTTCAGTTTGGTCAATTTAAATTTAGTGCATCAGCTCTATGATCTCTTGCCATTCATTTCACATGTGAGATGAATGTATTGTGTTCGTGTTGCGTGAAGGATCGGTTCCCACTTAGACATTGTCTTTGAATTAGTGATACTTGCCAGAGGTAAAACTGATATTGGACTTCGTGTAAAAAAGGAATTAAAAGCATTTTGTAATAATTCCCTGTTACTGATACTGATATTATCTAACTGGCTGTGCCTGCTTTAAGGTGGCAAGACATTTCTAGATGGTTGTCAATGATGTACAGACTTTCAGTACATTTTTTGTATAATTGCTTATCACGCAAATGTGATAAATCAGCAAATTTTAAACACAATTTTTTTTTATAAAATATATTGCATGACCAGTAGACGATTGCATGACCTTAATGTAGGCAATATCATTATGATTAATTCATCGGAAGTAAAACAGAAATAATTTGAAGCCACGTTGTCTAAAGTCCGTTCAGCATGGCACAGTTATGCGGCGGTTATCAAAACGCTCACTTCTCAAGAGCAAGTGATTCAGAAATTCTGTTTTGTTTGGTGAGTAAACATCTTGCAACTGGTTGGAATGTTTTTGTAAAGATGTTTGTACTGTCTTTTGAATCTTACCATGTTTAATTCCTTTTAAACTGGGTGATTTTTATTTTTGTCTATTAGTATTCATCATCTTAAAGTGAAACAACAAGGGAAATGAATATTACCTCACTTTTAAAGAATTTAAACAAAGGAAAAAAATTGAAACATGCTCAATGTAGCAAATGTTTTGGTTCACTGTAATAGTTAAAGGCAGCTCTGCTGTTCTCCCAAGGACTATTTTTGAATTGGAAAACTGCAGGATTGCATGACTCAAAAGAAATGATTAAAAATATAGATCACGTTTTGGGTAAATAATTCGGTTTTTCTTGCTTCAGGGCACATCCAGAAGAGTGGCTTGCCAGTGATCTACAACATAAACTACAAACTGAAGTGAGTATCTAAAAAAATGTATTTAGAATTGTTTCAACTTTTCCCCTCCAAGAATCAAGTTTTCTTTCTGTAGATGGAGATGAAATGAGCATTGAATCATTTTTTAATTTGGCACTACTTCAAAACATATCTGAATTTTTCCTAATTATTGTTCATGATGATATCAGTGAATTTATGATATCCTTGCTTTACTACATGTGAGAAACAACCAAATCCACAGCTACAACACAAGGCACACAAACCCCTGTAATCTAGCATTACATACAAGTATATAACAATTATTTTATTATATGGCAGTTCTCCATTTTCTATCAAGGTCAGAGGTTTTTCAATTCTCTTGATTATGACATAATATCTCTCATGTCTTTTTCCAACACTTACTAATTCTACTATGGATTAGCTACATGTATTAAAATGGCTTGTCAGCGTTATTTACTATAATCATAATACTACTTGTGAGAAAACCTAAGCATACAAGCCATTCATTTTTTTTTTTTTTCACCTTTTATCTGTTTTTTTTTTTCCTTTGCCAATTGCCATAAACTGTTGTATTTTCATATGTAATGGCAAATGAAATGATAAAATATAAAAGTTTTGGCATTAATCAGTTTTCATTTTCAATCTTAATTTAAGATAATGATACATCTTGTTCTTTAGGAAGTAAATTGTGAAAGGAAACGAAGAGATTCTGAACTGAAGGACGAGGTAAATGTGGCAAGGTTTTCTTTATGTTCATCTTATACTTACAAATAGTATTTATCTTTTTATATTCTTCTCAGGGAAAGGGGTTGATTTAAGTCAAGGTGGTTACAGGAAAAAACATTTTATGCGGCAAATAACTGTATTAAAGATGGCTCTGAAGCCATTTGAAATTTTATGTTTTAATATCAGTAAGCTAGTGTGTTGATCTGCTATAGATTTCAAGATTTTGTTCTACTTCTGTTTTCTCTCAATTTATGGTACAGATTTCTTGCTTTGCTCAACAAATGGTCACTGAATTCCTATGAAATCTGTGGAAATTGAGACTAATTATAAATTATGTTCTGTGGAGCTCCTAACATGTCACATCCTGGAACCATTTCATTTTCAGAGTGACCGGTAATAAGTCATTTTTATGCATTGTCAGATGATGGGAAGGATGAAAATGTCTTCTTTTTGTTATTTAACAAACAAATTACATGTTGTAGAGCGTCTGTTCAGTAATACATGTAGATCACAGCTGACATCGAAATGTGGTAAGAGCAAAAGTGGCATCTGAGGTACAGAGTGTGTCACTGCTGTTCATGACCCTNTGGCCACCAAGCCCATAACTGTAAAAGGGACTATTGACCACCGTAAAGAGTTAAAAAGCTGACGTTTCGAGTGTTAGTCCATCGTCATTCGCTCTGACGAAGGGCTAACGCTCGAAACGTTGGCTTTTTAACTCTTAACTGTGGCCAGTTTACATTATCAATTCAGTTGATCAAACCAAATTACCTTGTTACCCCAACAACGCAGCACCACAGTTTCATTAGAAACTTACCCCCTTTATTCTTAAGACTGAGTTGGTTTTACGTGGCCACGTCTTGTGATTGGTTCAAAACTAGCTCGCGCCACTTTCTCAACCAATCAGATGCAAAACTAAGACTAAGTGCAATTTGGTCCTTCGCATTTTCCCGCGTTCCGGGCAGTTCGCGTTTATTCCCTTGAGGTTTTTCCTCTCTTCTGATTGGCTGTTGATGTTACTGTGGTTTTGGTATTACAGTACTGTATCGAAAAGTGCTCTAAATTCTTAAAATGTGTGATATATTTTTTTGCTAGGAGATTGCGAGAAAACTGCAAGAAAAAGAAGCTATGAAACTTGAACGTGCAAGGCAGAGAAGAGCAGAAAGACAACTTAGGGAGGAGAGGGAGAGTAAAATTCTCCAGGAGGCTCTATCAGGGTTGCAAGATCACAATGACAATCAAGTGAATCACCGGCAACATGCTGAAACTCAAAGAGGTTTGATTGTTTACAATTTATGATTTCAGTCTTCTTGAAATATGATATGTGATGCCGTGGAAGTTACACAATAGAACGGAACCCTTTCCTCGAAGAAACGTTAGTGTTGATTGAAAGCTGCACGTGGATGCAAAATGACCATTAAATGCCGCTATGTAAGAGCGTTGCACCCAATCAGAATTCTTATCGGTTCCATGCAACAATTACCTTTGGTCTTAGTCTTGCATTTGATTGGTTAAAAAATTTTCGCAGGCTTTCTTGACCAATCACAGGACTTAATGAAGTAGAAGCATCGCAATCCCCCATTACTTCAAACGCTCAATTAAAAAATTTTCCTAACTCCACATTAAAAAAAAAAAAAAACGTTTTTGTTTTTGATGATTGAACTTATTTCCTTGCAGCACCTGTCCCGGTAGGATCAAGGAATGGTCGATCTTCTCCAGATACAGAGGAAACCAAGTCGCGTCGCCATGTCAAAGGAGAGATTAGCAGTGTTAGGGGGCCTGAGAAGAGATTCAGTATGGGAGAGGGAGCTGTAGTGCAACTACCGCCCAGTGAAGGAGGGAGATTAGAATGTGATAGGATTATCCTAGCTGATGGAACAGCTATTGACCTGTTTGATGACAATGAAGACAAAGGTGCCCGGGAGCAGGCGCATAAGAGATCGCGAGAGAGACAAGATGAGGTAAGAATACTGTGTAGCATGGATTTTTTTTTTTTTTTTTCAATGATAAACTAGTGAGCATTGTTATACCATAGTTAGTAGAGGGGAAGTATGGTTATACGAACTCAAATAGTAAAAACTTGTTTTATTCCTCCACGCGTTTCGTCGGACAATAGGAGACTTCATTAGAGGAGTTTTTACAAGTAGGGTAGATAAGGTAGCATCTATAAGCATCGATGTCTATTTAAACCATATCTTTTCAGTCCTTGATCTGTGACCTCGAAAAGCATCTCTTACTCGTACATGTAACGTTCGAAAAATGTCACGCATGCACAACACCTTAGACACACCTTGCGAATACTTTCCGCTTCGCTGCACATTAAACGTAAAGGTCGAAAACAGATATCGATGAATAAGCAAAATGCTGTTCATTGTGACGTCATCTATGCGTCTGTCGTCCAAAAGATCACGATGACTTTCGTTCAGGTTGTCGAAACGTCAGTCACCACCACCGAAAACATTTCTTCTCATGACTACACTCACTAGGACGATCAGACTACGATGTTATATATTAACTAAGAGTAGATTGATGTATTATTTTAATTTACAACTTTGGATTTTTTTTTTTTTATTGTGTAGGAATATGCAAGAAAGTTACAGGAGCAAGAAAATAAGGTATGCTTTTATACTATGTTTTTTGTACTTTCGTGTTGGTCATCTATCTTTTAACATAAAAATTCTAACTATATCGACATTAAGTATATACCAAACGTGAATAATGCTTGTCCCGCGCACAGATTGGCCATTTCGGAAATGATTAGTAAGCACCATTCACCTCTAAGTAGCTGTGGAGACAAAATTGCACGTCAAGAGTTTAATTTCCGGTCATTTTTTGGGAGTATGAAAGGAAATAAATCAATTTTCGGTTTCTGTGTGGAGTAGGCTAAAACAATCATTCACCATGGGGTCGGTGAAAGTGGTGAACATTTACTCCGCCAATTTACGGCGCGGTAAATATCCACCATTGTTCACCTCCACTTTGGTGAATAATTGTTAACGTTTGGAAGGGTAGTCTTGGGAATGTTCTTTAATCATCCGCATATCCGTCTCTAAATATTTGATCCTATCCACAATTGAAGTTTTTTCAATATTTATGGGCCTCGATGATGTTGAATATAAATTTGGATCTCGAAGTACTCTACAGTTAGAGCTAACAACAGTTAATTCCATGTCAGTTATTAGAACAAGACCGTCATGCGGAACACGACAGGAAGCTAGCACTGGAATATCAAGACAGGGTATGCGTCAGTTAATCATTTACTTGAGAGTATTGAAGACGTGGTCAAGATGTATCAGCTTACGGTGTTTGTCGCTTGAGCTTCGTAAAACCAAAACCATGCTAAACACAACAGCCAATCAGAGCAAAGAGAATATCCAAAAGGACCAATGAGATT